TCATTTCATGAGCTATCTCTGACAAAAACTGTACTCCTTTTACCTTGATTATTTGTTATCTTCTTTTGATTGAAGTATGCAGTGGCTTCCTAGGCAAAACTCACAAAAAAAGGAAGAAAATACCTGCGCTGAATGCGGATGAAATTCGACAAGATATAGCGAGAGTAGGGTCGGTGTATCAATCATAGCCACTTTCCACGTTGTTCCCTTATACCTAAGAAATGTGCTTTATACTGCCTTCGCTTAAGGTTTAAAATCGTTAATCAAACAATCTAGCCTGACGTCACACAAACGCATAGCAACAGAGAGTCAACCTAAAAATTTATGTGGTTGTGTTTCCAATCCGGTCGTGTTTTCACTAAATTATTGTTGATTTGCTTAAGAATACGTTTATTTGGTGGTTTTTGTTCACGAGTTTCTGTAAATTAAAAGTGGCTATAAATAGAACACATATAAAATATGTTTCCACGTATAGTCACTTAGATGGCTATATTTAGACAAATGTTGTGCCAATTTTAGCCAGGATATGGCTATATTTAGACCATTGATGTATCAATTATAGCGGCACTACCAAAAAAGAAAAAGAAAACAAAGGAAAATATTAATAGATCTATGCAAAGAAATAAAGGTCCTATTCATCAATACTCTTCAGAACAACTTGCACGCACACTTCAAGCAGTAGAACAAGATGGAATGGCTGTGGCAAAGGCCAGTAGTAGTTTTGTAGTGCCCTCAACAATTTTACGTGATAAGTTTAGTGGTAAAACTTCAGCAAAGATGGAAAAAGTTAGAAAAAAGTGTTTTCTATCTAAGAATAATGGTAAAGAAACTACAAGTTTACTTGGACAGCAGTGTTTATAGCCAATCAATGTCAAATAGTAGCCCATGTTTTGGCAGTTTGATTCCTATATTATTTCTAAGTAAGGACACTGTATTGACAAACGCGAGCCATGGATTTCCAGTGAACAAGGAAGGACTAATATATTCTGTTCAGCAAATATTGGAGAAGAACCGTCTAGACACTCCTTTCACAAACAATAAACCAGGAAGGAAATGGTTCGAATCCTTTTTGAAACGTTATCCTCGAATAAGCCAAAAACAACGAAGAAAAATTAGAGCTTGGTTTGCCGAAGTTCAAGAGGTACAATTGAAGACAGTGACGTTTTTAGTCACGCAGAAAGTCTGGATACACATATATTATATACATCTATCTGAATATACATATATTATAATTATTAATAGTTGCACTTCTTTTTCAAATCATTACATCTTTATATAGTAGTTTTCAATCAATTAAATTCCCAATTTATCAATAATTTCAGTTTAGATTAAGTATGGTGGCTAAATATAGTGCATACACCAGGCTATAAATGGTGATCAAGTGGCTATAATAGGAATAGCTTTTTATGTTTTTTGTTGAATTTACGTTTTATTTTCTTAATACTTTTCCACCAATTATCGCAAAAAACTATATTATCTATCATTAAAAATCATAGCACCTAACGACAATTCAATTCTTTGCAAAATATAAGGCATGGAATTCAAAACAATCCTTAAATTGGCTATAAGTGGTACGCCGACCCTACTTAAATCCGCATTTCGCATCTATAGTTGATGATATTGAGGGTTATCTGGTCTTTGGCCGTCCTCTAAGTCTTTTTCTAAGACATTCTTCTTTTGATCTCTTCGGCGGTGTTGATTACCAAAGTGACCGGACATGTGGATGTCAGAAATGAATCCGTGAAAAGCCTTTACAATTCAAGAAGGCAAGGAATGTTTGTAACCCTTACAAAGAGGCTTTCTCCAGGTTATGGAAGGACACACACCATATCCACACGACCCAATTTCTACGCTTAAACCCTCAAAGGTACGAGACTGCCAAAAAGGAGTTCGTGATTATTCTGCAATTGAAAATAGCCCGCCCATCCAAAAGTAGTTGGTCATCACCTCTACACATGGTCCCCAAGAAAGGTGAGCAGTGACCAGGTGACCACCTTGCGTAGATTACCGCGCATTAAACACGAGAACGATGCTGGGCAAATATCCGATACCACACATGCAAAACTTTTCGCAATCCCTTCATGAGAAGAAAATCTTCTCGATCATCGACTTAGTGCGAGCTTACAACCAAATTCCTGTCGTCCAGGAGGATATCCCAAAAACGGCTATAACAACACCCTTTGGCTTGTAATGGACGAAGTTCTGCGAAGCCTGGATTTCGCCTATGTATACATCGACGATATCCTCATCGCTTCGGCCTCGGAGGAGGAGCACCTGGAACATCTAAAGCAGGTTTTTCAACGCTTGAAGGAATACGGAATCCTCGTGAATCCGGTCAAGTGCGTCTTCGGGAAACTGCAAAAAAATTGCAGAGATTCATAGGAGTGTTCAACTTCTCGAGGCAGGCCCTACCGAGAACGGCCGAACTACAATCGCCCCTGAACAACCTGTTACCTAAAAGGGAAGGCACCCATCGTCTGGACGAAGGCAGCCGTTCAAGCTTTCGGCGACTGCATGAAAGCGTTGGCACAAACTACCCTGTTGGCATACCTAGCACCGGACGTTCCGCTTGCCATCTCGTGCGACGTCTCTGATTTTGCCGTTGGAGCAGCCCTGGACCAACAAGTCGAGGAAGTTTGGGAACCACTGGGTTTCTTCTCTAAAAAGTTAAGTGCCGCGGAAAGGAAGTACGGTGCATACGACAGAAAGTTGCTAGCCATCTACAAAGCCATTCGGTACTTTCGGCACATGGTGAAAGGGCGAATGTTCGTAATATTCATGGACCATAAACCGATTACGTTCGCCTTTCAACAAAAACCAAGCAAGTGCTCGCCGCGACAGTTCCATTACTTAGATTTTATCGGACAATTTACAACGGATAAAGACAATGTGTTAGGCGTCTAAAAGAATAAAACATTTTTTATATAACGTACTACAGCGGGTGTAGAAGCAGTATTCCATACTAATTGAACACTATATAAATAAAATTATGTACATAACTGTTTTTAAGACGATAAATAATAATTTGGTATTTTTCATCGATAAAATTTTTACAACTCACACAACTTGAAATAGTTTCTCAGACATAGAGAGATATGGGGTTTTAAAGAGCATAGTGAAAGTTGCCAAAAAAGTTTTAAACCAAAATAACTCGAAAACGAAAAACGCTATGTACCAATAACTTTCATCAAAGTCAACATATTTTTTACGTACAATTAAAAGATGCAATAAAAACTATAGCATTCCATTTAAAATATCGAAGTTTTGGTCACAGAATAACCAGAAATGACACTGACGTCAATTCGTTTGATGTTGGCGGCACCTCGTTTTGAAAAACAATACGTTATTTTCAAATTTACAAACACCTAAAATAAGGAAGTTGAGCGGCGAACACGTAATAACAAATATGAATAAAATTTTTTTTATTAGGGTGTCATATTTAGCATAAGGCTAGGTAACTTGTTAACGACTGAGCATTTTTAACTGCGCCAAGAATTTTCTATTTGCCTTTTTCTATTGTGTACACAGTAATATACGTTAAGCTGAATTTATATGCTTATGCACATGTTTTCAGACCACGTTCTAAATTTCAATGTACATATTATTAGGGTTTTGCGTTTAAATTTTTGATTTATGAAATCGAAGTTATTAGATTGGCTGAATATATAATAGTAGTTAAACATATTATGTATATGCATTTCGGATTTGCATCAATCCACTTTTGTAATTTACATTATGCATTAATATTTAATCGAATTTGCAGCATATCTATGTTTCTATTACAGTTGTGTTCATTAATTGGCACAAATGGTCGCAAATAATCAATTTCATTTTGTAATTCATGATCTAATCCTAGTTTGTATATATACAGGGTATTTAGTCGTGGGATCATTTTAATCGGAAATACTAGAGTAAAAATGATGACGATTCGTGTAAAAATTTTTGGTCTAAACCCACAAATGGCTAAGATATAAGCCCTCAAGTTAAGAAATTTTTAAACATTTACAATATGATTTATATTAGAAAGATTAAATTTGTCAAACAGTGCAATGTTATCATAAGAAATCGTTTAAGATCACTTTTGAAAATATGCAACCATGGGATCAATTGGGCTATTATGTCGTAAACTGGTAAATTTTCTAACTACATAATTCTAAGAGCCTGTTCCATTTTAAAATTATTTACGTTCTTAGAAATTTTTGATTAGACGCATCGTTCTCAAGTTATTCGCAAAAAGATACAACCTCGATTTTGAAATGTTTTTCGTAAGTAAAGCAATAAACAAATCTGTCAAATTATTATTCATTTCAAAATCGAGGTTGTATCTTTTTGCGAATAACTCGAAAACAATGCATCCAATCAAAAATTTCTAAGGCCGGCCACACACGTACAGTTTGAAATGTTCAGTTTAAACTGCCAGTTGAAACTGTATGTATACAGTAGAAGCACACACACGTACTGTTAAGAAAAAACACAAAAAAAATGTTAAGAAAATATTAGAAACGCAAACGGGAAAATTTGAAACACTTATAAATGTCAATTAAAGTTCGGGTGAAAAACTGTCAAATAAAGAAAATGAAATATAAACGTCTTACAGTTCTTGTAGAATCTTTTAGTGGTTGTTCAAACAGAAAATAAAAGTCGAAACACTTTTAACGAACATCTATTTGAAATAACACGGAAATACTTTAAGCACAGAAAATTGACGCGTGGTCTCTTGCACGTGAACGTCAACTCTTATAAAAAAAACAACTGAATAACAAAACTTAAAAAATACGGAACGGCCGACTAATTAAATTATAATTAACAAAAATAACAGAAACTATTAACTTTTAAACATTACCGCCCGCCTTGCCGAACGGACGGCAACCGAAATAACAATAAAACATGTGAAAAGAAAGCATAATCTAATATTGAAACATAATCAAACACAACAAAATAAAAGAACGACGGACAACGTTAAGAAAATCCGAAACAATTAATGAAAACGAAATTAACACTCAATTATCGGCACTCGGTAAGACACAAAGTTTAGTGACGGGTCGCGTTAAAGTCGTTGTTGGTGTCTTCACCGTTGCCACTCGCGCAAATCCGTCCGGTCCGGGGTGGAGATACGTAATTCGACCAAGTGCCCACTTGGACGGAGGGAAACGTTCGTCCTTTATAAGAACCAACCTTCCTACTTGAGGTAAGTTACGTTGCTGATACCATTTATTGGAATTTTGAATGAACTGGAGATAAAATCTCTCCCATTTTAGCCAGAAGTCGTCTATCATTCGTCGCAAATGTTGCCATCGTGAAAGACGTGAAATGTTAACGTCGAGCAAGGAAGGCTCAGGAACTACAGTGAGGGAACTGCCGATGAGGAAATGGGCGGGCGTTAAAATTTCGTAAGAATTAGGGTCATCGGAGATTGAACAAAGAGGTCGTGAGTTCAATACGGCCTCAATTTGAACGAGGACCGTCGAAAATTCTTCATAAGTAAGTGTTGTTGCTCCGACGACCTTCTTAAAGTGAGTTTTAACTGATTTTACGCTCGCCTCCCATTTTCCTCCGAAGTGGGGCGCTGCTGGCGGATTAAATTTCCATTCGGTCCCGTCACAACTGAGCAGATGTGCAAGATGTCTCCACTGCGACGAGGCTGCCGAGAACATTGCTCGAAGTTCCTTATCAGCTCCCACCAGATTTGTTCCACAATCGCTATAGATGCAGCTTGGGATTCCACGACGACCGGAGAAACGTTTGAATGCTGCTAGGAATCCCGCTGTCGTGTAGTCAGAAGTGATCTCCAGGTGAACAGCTGAGGTAGTCATACAAACAAAGACGATTAAATATCCTTTGTACATTTTAGCTCCTCTCCCTCGCATACTGCGAAGCTGAAACGGCCCAGCATAATCTATGCCTGAATGTTGGAATGGTTTTGAAGGACGAACTCTGGCCGAAGGAAGTTGACCCATGAGCTGCTGGCTTGTAACAGCTCGCTGTTTTGCGCATATCATGCATCAATGGATAAAAGCCCGAACGGGAACACGGCCTCCAATGATCCAAAACTGTCGACGAATGGAAGTGGAGGTAAGTTGTGTTCCTCCATGCAATGTTCTACGATGATGGCTGTCAATTATCAATGTAGTGAGTCTGGAGTCCCTTGGCAGTATAATTGGGTGTTTCTCGTCCCAATCCAACGTCGAAAATCGAAGGCGACCAGTGATACGGAGAAACCCCAATCCATCAACGAATGGGACTAAACGGAATAGTGGGCTTGAACGTTGAACTGCTTTTCCGCTCTGCAGAAGTCGGATCTCTTGACCGAAGTATAATTGCTGACATTCGCGAACCCAAAACATTAAAGAGCGATTAATTTCTTCCGGCGACAGAATATCTGAAACAGAATAAAGCTTATTTCTGTCGAAAACTCTGATACACCAAGCCGTAACACGAAGAAGTTTGCTCAAGGACGAATATTTTTCTTTAAGGTCCCAGCCTTTTTTCACCATGGATGCTGTGTTTGAAGTTGAAATAGCTCGTTGCTCCACATCAGCTTCGGTACTCAACGTTGCCCGGAACAAAGGCCACTGTGATGATGATGAACGGAGCCAGGAAGGTCCGGACCACCAAAAATCCTCTTGCTGCAGTCTCCTCAATGGAACGCCACGAGATAGTAGATCCGCTGGATTATCCTCGCTTGGGAGATGATGCCACTTCGCCTCGGTCAATTCCTGGATCTCGGTCACCCTGTTGCGAACATAGTCCTTCCAACGTGATGGATGGCTGCAGATCCAGAATAGAGCAACGGTCGAATCGCTCCACAGGTGCACTGGATGATTAATAAGATCCAAAGTCACGCGAACTCGTCGGATCAAACGCGTAAGAATAACCGCGGCGCACAACTCGAGTCGCGGTATCGTAACGCGCTTAATTGGTGACACTTTTGTTTTAGCGATAAGGATTGAAACACGCACTTCATCACCCGAAACAACCCGAAGATAAACCACCGCACCATAAGCGCTGTTCGAGGCGTCAGCGAATCCATGAACCTCGACCGATTGTGCACAGTCCGACAACCCAAGCCACCTCGGTACCCGAATAGTTGGAACCTCTTTAAAATTATCAAGGAAAAAACTCCACCGCGTCACCAAATCGCTTGGTAAAGAATCGTCCCACTCAAGATTTCGAGTCCACAGCTCTTGCATAAAGATTTTGGCTGTAACAACGATAGGAGCTAGCCAGCCGAGCGGGTCAAACAACCGCGCGATAAAGGATAAGATGACGCGTTTGGTAAGTTCGAATGGTTTATCAGTATATGACTTGAAACTGAACAAAAAATTATCCTCTGAATTGTTCCAGAGCAATCCCAACGCACGCGGCGAGTTTGATTCGTCTAACTTAACAGTACTTGAACCTGAAAGGAATTCAGGAGCTAAAGAACGAAGCACTTCAGGATGATTCGACGTCCATTTTCGCGCAGTAAAACCGCCCGCCGTCAGGATAAGGTTCACTTGAAAGATAACCTCCTGAACCTTGTCTAGATCGTTCGCGCCCGAGAGGATGTCGTCCACATAGGTGTCCAGTCGAATAACAGAAGCTCCCAGAGGCTGTGAGCTTAAGTGTTCGTCCGCTAGCTGCCGAAGGCACCGAATCGCTAAGTATGGCGCGCACGATAACCCGTAAGTAACGGTACTTAGCTGATAGGTTTGAATAGGATCCGTACAGTTTTCACGCCAAACGATTTGTTGATACCGCCAATCGTCTGGATGTACTTTAATCTGTCTGTACATTTTTTCTAGATCACACGCGAATACCACCGGATGGCGTCTCCACCGGAGAAGAACGTCGACCAACTCGGTTTGAAGTTTAGGCCCGGTATGGAGACATTCATTTAACGACATGCCCGAAGATGTTTTCTGGGACCCATTAAACACGACGCGCAATTTTGTAGTCGAACTGCTCTCCCGAATAACTCCATGATGAGGCAAATAGAATTGAGGAAGTTCACGAAGCGGGGCCGATACTTGACGCATGTGATCCAATTCAAGGTATTCACACATAAATTGATTGTACTTCTGTTTAAAATTCAAATTTTTGGCGAATCTCAGTTCAAGTCTTGTGAAAGTCTGTATGGCAATCGGATAAGAAGCGCCCAATTCAGTGGGAGACCGACGGAAAGGAAGACGAACCACGAAACGACCGTTTAAATCACGCGAATAGTTACTCACAAAGTGATCTTCGCACTCTTTTTCGTCCGGCGAAATACAGGGAACCGAAACCGTATCGTCTTCCTGTTGCCAAAAACGTTGAATAATTTCAAGGAGTTCCCGATCAATCGAACATTGAAACGCGAACGGGTTTGAGTTTGAAGACGGTTGATCGGCCATGATACCGGAAAGAATCCACCCGAGGGAGGTTTGTTGAGCCACGAGCGATCCATCCTCGCTTCTTCGAATTCCATCTTGAATTATTTTTGAGTAGAAAGTAACCCCAAGAATCAAATCAATATTTCTAGATGATGTAAAATCAGGATCAGCTAGCGGAAGGTCTGCTAACTCGAAGGGAATATGCGCTGTTCTTTTTTGAGGAAGATATGCGGTAAGTTTCGGGAGAATTAGAGCTTCTTCTTCGTATGAAATGAAAGGGTTCACTTTTGATGCTAGTTTAATGTTCACAGTACCGCGTGAGACACTGGTGTGCTGCGACCCAATGCCAAAAATTGGGTTACTGGCTGAATGACGCGAAATCTGCAACTGTTGCACCAGGGACTCGGAGATAAAGGATACTTCTGCTCGTTGGTCGATGAGAGCTCGAACTAGAATGGTTTCACCGCGACTAGAAACTGTTAACACTAGCGCTGTCGCCAGAATCACGGGGGTATGAACGTGGTGTGAATTTATAACGTGAGAATTTGAGGAAAGTGGCGCTTGATTATTATTTGTTCGAGATGAAAGTTGCTGAACGTTTGTTTCGGGGTTCGCATGCTGTGTGCTTGTAGAGCGTGAACGGGAATCTGAAGGGGCATCATGCAACGTGCTATGGTGATTCTTGTTGCATACGCGGCAGCGCTTCGAAACGCGACAATCCTTTACAAGGTGAGGTCCAAGACAGTTAAAGCATCGTTTATTACTTTTCACGAATTCGATTCTTGCAGACGGACTCTTCGCAAGGTACGTTGGACATGAAGAGATATAATGATTCGAAGTGCATATGAAACAGTTGGACGTTCCGGAAGATGCGTTGTGAACTTTTACAACTGGGATCTTCGTGGAATGTGAAGTTTGGTTAGGCTTTCGGTTTGCTTGCAAGTTCTCGATTGCCTCCAATGTATGAATACGCCCGATTAAGAAGTTCTCGAGTTCTTCATACGTTGAGGGATCTCGATGGTCACCGATGGACTTTTCCAATTCTTTCATCACGTCCATATCTAATTTTCTGATAATCAGAAAAACTAGAAAATAATCCCAATGTTTGACGGGACATTTCAAAACTTCAAGCGCACCGATTCCTTCTTTCACTTCCCCGACGAGTCGTTTTAATTCACTCGAAGATTCGTTCTTCATAGCGCGCGCGGAAAATAGTATTGCTAATTGAGATTCGATAAGTAACCGGCGATTTTCGTATCGTTCAACTAACGTCTGCCACGCCCTTTCGAAATTTTCATTCGTTATCGCGATGTTTTTGAGCAATTGAGCTGGCTCACCGATTAATGTCATTTTCAGGTACTGCAATCGTTCAACGTCTGATAATTCCCGATTATCAGTAACCATTGCGACGAACAAATCCCGAAACTGAGCCCAATTAGCGTACTTTCCGTCGAAATTGGGAAGTTTGATTTGCGGCAAATGTCGCGAAGGCGCCGATGGACGAACCATCTCCGTTACGCTTCCAGCGGGGGCTTGAGAAGGCTGAGGAATTAGAAATGATTCCATCAGATCGAGAATTTCGCCCTTGGCCTCCATATACGCCTCCTCACAAACCGAAAATAAATCATCTGTGAAATATATTGTTTCTGTGAATAAATGCCGATATTTTGACAAGTATTTATGCGACTCGTTGAATTCACTCCAATTCGCTTCAAGTCGCTCAAGACGACTTTGAATGTTTCCGCGAGTACGTTTCGCGATCGCGAGTTTTTTAATATTGTCTATTGTGCGAGAAATTAACCCGTGAATGTCATTTTGCCGTTCAAAAATCGGGTTTAAGTCAATTTCACTAGCGGTTGCCATGGTAACGTAACACAAATAAACACGAAAACGAAAAATCGAAAAACACACAAAACGTTCTTTCTCTCCGCACTTCCGGTTATAAATCCGGCTCGAAGGACCAAAAAATGTTAAGAAAATACACAAAAAAAAATGTTAAGAAAATATTAGAAACGCAAACGGGAAAATTTGAAACACTTATAAATGTCAATTAAAGTTCGGGTGAAAAACTGTCAAATAAAGAAAATGAAATATAAACGTCTTACAGTTCTTGTAGAATCTTTTAGTGGTTGTTCAAACAGAAAATAAAAGTCGAAACACTTTTAACGAACATCTATTTGAAATAACACGGAAATACTTTAAGCACAGAAAATTGACGCGTGGTCTCTTGCACCACGAACGTCAACTCTTATAGAAAAAACAACTGAATAACAAAACTTAAAAAATACGGAACGGCCGACTAATTAAATTATAATTAACAAAAATAACAGAAACTATTAACTTTTAAACAATTGTCTCTTTTTGAATGAATAAATCTCGTAAACAATCCTTTTTATTTTTGTAAATACTGCTAGAGTTTTCCCATTAAAACTACAACTTTGTTAACAAACCATAAAAAATAATAGAACTAATAACCATAATATACTACATAATATACATAATATACTGTATTTTGAATGTCCAGTTTCTCAATTGAATACCTGCTGGTTAATAGATAAATGCATGGTTAAAAATTTCAACTTTAAAGCTTCATTTTTAGATATTTGATCACATTTTCGCATATTTGTTTTACTGTGCGTCAGCATTGCTAACTTGATGTAACTCAACATCAGTTTATTAAGGACAGAGCAAACCGATGTACTTATTAATTTCAACAGATGATATCTCGAAGAAGGAAAAACATTCTAAATAATAAATAACTGAAAAAGAGTTTTAAAGGGGAAGGGTAATAATTTCAAAATTTATAAAAAAAAATTTTTTTTTTAATTCCCTCATGTGAACTATAACCACAAATACGACCAGAAACCGTATTTTTAACATATTTTGGCTAAGATATTTTAAAAACCTTATGTGATGAAGCATTTTTGAGATTAAATTTGGATTTAGAACGTAAAAAACCTTCGGGAGTAAAACCTTAGTCCAGTTGTTGGTTTAGAAAACATTTAAATTTTGTCGGCCTGTGTTATTAGCGTCCTAATAATTCCATATACAGCCTGATTCAGAGTAAGCGCCTTATTTTTTTTTAGCCATACTATGGGTACTACTTTCAAAATATTTGGCAGTAATATGTTTTAGGACATTCTCTACATGATGGTGATATCACATTTTCAATTGGACGAATTATTTCAGAATGGCGACTGTCAACTTTTTTTTTTAAATGGAATGCCAAAATTTTTTTTCATTATTAAGATCCTAAAAACATTCTTTATATGAATAGTATTTTGTTTTTCTTAAAAATTCATTTCTTTCCCCATCATATAGCAACATTAACTTTTAAATACATACATTAGTTTGAGATGGAACAAAATGAATTTTTATTAATTATTCAATAACTATAAGAAATATACCCCACAAACTATACAGGGTGTCCAATTAGTGCGATATCGGACGATATCTCCTTACAGGGTGTCGCTAGAAGAAAATGTTTATATATAAAGTTGTTTGGTGCTCGAAGGTGCATAACCTAAAAATATTTTTGTTTATACAGGGTGTTGTAAATTTAAATGGAACACCCCATATTTTATTACATTTTTAAATTACCGTTAAAATTCGACATACTTTTTGTTAAGCATTACCTATACCAAAATTTTACCGTTTTTGAAATATTCAACATTTTGTGTAAAATCTCCGTCTGCACGTGTCTATAAAATAAAGCATACCCAATTTATTTAAGACCCTAGAAAGCAAATCTTTTGTAGATTATTAATGCATAGTTACAGTAACTTTATGCCCCTATAAAAATCTGGCAACCTTCTACAGGGAGTTTCTCAATACCAATACTCAATACCAGAAACTTGAAATAGCTATATCTCATTTTTTTTAATGGCATGCCTCATATTTTTTTATCTTAAATTATTAGCCAAGTAATAAGGTTTCTTTTTTATAAAGCATGTCCTATACCTATTTGCAATAGTTATCAAGTTATTTACGCTTTTTACAAATTTCTACTTTAATACCTATTTGATTTCAAAAATTTTTTGTTGGTTAGCTATGAAAATAATAATTGATAACAACAAAGCAAAAAAATGCAAAAAGAAATTAAAACTAATAATATTCAATATAAACTTTTCAAGAGATGAATTTCAGAGTTTGTTTTCAATCGACTAATGCTTATGTACATAAAAAGTAATATAAAAATTTTCAAAAGACAACGAAAAATATGGAATTGGCAACATAAAATAACAAGGAAATATTTTATTAAAGTCAACAAACGGCAAAGTTTCTGAACAAATACCATAAAAAAACAAAAGAAAGTAACACTATACATAATTTTCAATGTGTCTGCCTTGACGTTCTTCACACAAACGAATTCTTCTAACAAAGGAATTGCTTACTCACTGCAGCATTTCGCAGCTTACTTCGTTAAAAGCGTTTTTAATTCTTTCCTCCATATCTTCTATGGTAGTAACAGGCACTTGATAAACTCGATTTTTCACAAAACCCCATAAGAAAAAATCAAGTTTTGATAGATCTGGAGATCTGGGCGGCCAAGAAACCGGTCAGAAACGCCCTCACACGACGACTGAAATGGGGAGGCGCTCCATCTAACTGTAGCCACATTCGCCTCACCATTTGAAGTGGTAAATCCTCGAAAGCATTCTCCAAATTAGTCCGCAAGAAATTTAGAAAGTTCTGACCATTTACAGCTTCATTAAAAAAATATGGCCCGAATACCTTTGTTCCCATGATGCCGCCATGATGAAAATTGTGACGGTTTACAAATCCATTTTTATGGAAGGTAGCTTTGTCTGTCATCAAAAAAAGTCAGGTTATTGTTGATTTTTTTCTAACGCCCAAAGGCAAAAATTCCTCCGATTTACACAATCTTCATTAGATAACTCTTGAACAAGTAGTATATCGTAAGGATGGAATTTATATTGTTTAATAATTTTGTTGGTAGTGGATCTCTTAATGCCTAACTGTTGCTCAATTTGTCTGCAGGAAATATGCGGATTCTCTACTACGGCTTGTATGAGTAACATTTCGTTTTCTGTACTTGCTGCTGTTTTCTCTCTTTGTAATTTTGACTCATAATTTACATTGCCGGTTCTTTCGAATTAAGGAAAGATTCGAAAGAACCGGCAGTCTTTCGAATGCTAAACAATTTGGATGGCGTTCAGCTTCTGGAAACCTTTGTGCACAAATTCAAACAGTAAACCATTTTTATTAATTCATCTCTTGAAAAATTCATATTGAATATTATTAGTTTGTACAAATTTAGCAGACTATCAAATTCAAAGCATTCTTTTGCTTTGGTGGCATCAATTATTATTTTCATAGCCAACCAACAAACATTTTTTGAAATCAAATGGATATTAAAGTAGAAATTTGTAAAAAGCGTAAATAACTTGATAACTATTGTAAATAGGTATAGGACATGCTTTATAAAAAAGAAACCTTATTACTTGGCGAATAATGTAAGATAAAAAAATATGAGGCATTCCATTTAAAAAAAAAATGAGATATAGCTATTTCAAGTTTCTGGTATTGAGTACAATATTACGAACACCCTGTAGAAAGTTATCAGATTTTTATAGGGGCATGAAGTTACTGTAACTATGCATTAATAATCTACAAAAGATTTGCTTTCTAGGGTCTTAAATAAATTGGGTATGCTTTCTTTTATAGACACGTGCAGACGGAGATTTTTCCACAAAATGTTGAATATTTCAAAAACGGTAAAATTTTGGTATAGGTACTGCTTAACAAAAAGTATGTCGAATTTTAAGGGTAATTCAAAAATGTAATAAAATATGGGGTGTTCCATTTAAATTTACGAAGTTGTACCTTGTACTTTGTTTTTGCAACACCCTGTATAAACAAAAATATTTTTAGGTTATGTACCTTCGAGCACCAAACAACTTTATATATAAACATTTTCTTCTAGCGACACCCTGTAAGGAGATATCGTCCGATATCGCACTAATTGGACACCCTATATATATTTGTTATCAGAAGAAAATAACAAATTATTTTAGGTCATAGCCAACTATGGTTTCCATTTAAAAAAATAAAGTTACGTCTATAATCTCGAAAATAAAAGATGGGAAAAAAATTCTATCTACGCTAATGAATTCTTCGTAAAAAGTTGCCCATATAATGTTTTATTTATAATACTCCATCTTTGATAATAAGTGAGATATTCGCGATTGTCATTGAAATTTTTAGTTTTTGCCGATAGGGCGAAAACAAAAGACGATAGCTGTTCGGAGTTTTCGGCATTAGCATTTTCTCGAAAAACGAGATCATGACATGTAAGTTACTTTTTTTCTATCTCTTTTAGTTTCGGAGATAGCCTATGCGGACATCGAAATTGGGACAGCCTGTACTCCATATAATGTAACCATTTTATATAACTTTTTAAAGGACGCGTACTTAGAAAAAAATTAATAAAAATTATTATCTCAAATTTGATTTGAATACGTCTCTGGTAACCTACTTGACTTTGAGAACGCATAGACGCATCTTCAGCACAAAAGATGTTGGAAAAGGGAATCCGGCGCATCTCATCGACTGCGTAAAAACGTTAGAAAGTAAATAAATGTAAATGGTCTTATCGACTTTGGAAAATGTTAATGAAATGTGTTTTTTTTTTTGCCTGATGGATGCCATCTATCGCTCATCAGGTAACAACCCCCCACCCGGTTCCGCCACCCACCGCTAGGTGACGCCACCGTCGACCGATCCTACGATTCTTAAGATCAAACCTCCAAACCAAACGTTTTATGTCCGGATGTATCAAGGCCTAGATGTATTGACAATGACGTCATCGTGGTAATGCCCGTCGATCTAGATAGTCTCAT